TAATTATATGGTAAATTACTTTAGCGCATAGTGTTCAAAATTTCATTATCCTGCGCTTGTCAACTATTACTTGCCAACGCATAGTTTTGCAAGTGGCAAGACATCTCTAATTAGCGTCATTCTTTTTTAAGCACATGTGCAAGTGTGTGTCAAGATCTCTTCCTGCAGTTGACACACACTCTATCTTTTTCTGAAAATCTGAAGAACATTATTTATCATATAATTATCTATGAAATGCCTATATTTCTCCATTTCGTAAACTTGATATCTTCACTAGTGAAAATATTATATATATTTATATGATAAACAGAATATTATATGGTCGCTTAGAGATAAGATTTTTTTCTTCTCGTGTTGAAAATCTCTCTTCAAAACTCGAAAAGAAAATCCGTTTCCCCGCGCGCCTATGTTATATCTTCTATATCTCTAAAACCGTGAAATATATGTAATACTTTTTAAGAATTTCGTACTTTTATAGTAAATATAGTAATACTATCATCGAAAGAAAGCTCTGGTAAACTGTATGTGTTCTTTGTTTATAATTACCATGGTAACTCTGATTAAAACGCGTTGCTATAAACGTTTCCACCCAATTAAAACCACACGGGAGTAAAATTCATTGTTATTTGTATTTTCATTTCACAGTTGAATTCTTAAAAAAAGTTCTTTTCCCACAGTATTTGAATTGGGTGGTAATGTAAACATCAACGACGTTAGCTTATTAGGTCTATTGGCTGTTTATTTTTAAGCTATGTTCGACTTTCAATCGGGGTTTGTTCGGCAGATTCGTATAACCGTTATTTTGATTGTCCAAGGATATGCTGACGATACTCAATTATACATGTCTTTTCGTCCCGGATCGACTGCGTCCAATGATGCTGCCGTTCAAGCGATGGAAGACTGTATCAATGATATCAGAGGATGGATGGCTCACCATCAGCTTATGTTAAATGAGAGTAAGACCGAATTCTTGATTATTGGCTCTCGCCAACAACTGGCCAAGGTTAACATCAGTAAGATCCATGTACAATACAATACAATACAATAATTTTATTAAGCAATCCAAAAATGGCTTTTCATGCCTAATTTACAATAGTTTCCAAATTTACATAAGTACAAACTGATAAAATTACAATGATGATTAAGAGTAAAATTTCCTATTTATAATAATTTACAATAATTATAAAAATTACAATTATTATTAAAGATATAAATAC